ATAACCTGCCTATTTCTGTTAATGGTGCACTACTGTTGTTCCATGCTGCAAGCATGAAACCTTGGATCTATTTGAAGGGAGGATTGTTTTTTTTATTTTTTGAGATGAAGTTTCCCCCTTGTTTGCCAGGCTGGAGTACAGTGACGCAATCTTGGCTCACTGCAACCTCTGCCTCCTGGGTTTAAGTGATTCTTCTGCTTCAGCCTTCCGAGTAGCTGGGATTACAGGTGCCCACCACCGCACCCAACTAATTTTTTGTATTTTTAGTAGAGACGGGGTTTCACCATGTTGGCCAGGCGCCTGACCCCATGATCTACCTGCCTCGGCCTCCCAAAGTGCTGAGATCACAGGTGTGAGCCACCACATCTGGTCATAGCTATTATTAAAAATTAAATTATGTAAACATACAATTAAATAAATTATATTTAAAATAAATGTAATGAATACTCAAAGCTCTTCATTTTATACTTATTTTGCTGTGTGTTAGCATTGTTTATGCTCTTGAGGTTAATTATGTCTATTGTGTCTCTGTGATGGACATACTATAGATAATGGTGTGCTGCTGCATATTTCTTCCCAACATTGCATTTAGTGATAATAGTAGCTTGAAATTGGTTGTATTGGGAATATTTACACCCTGGAAATCAGCAAATTCTGCAAGTCTGAGTTAGATGCCTTGTTTTGTTCATTATTTAGACTTAAGAAAATGATGGAGAAAATGTTAATATTGCAGATTAAACTTAAAAGTGTGTCATATCTAGAGCCAGTACCTTATGAAAAATTGAAGAAATATTCTTTTTCTTCTTCTTCTTCTTTTTTTTTTTAAAGACAGGTTTCACCATGTTAGTCAGGCTGATCTTGAACTCCCGACCTCAGTTGATCTGCCCACCTTGGCCTCCAAAGTGCTTGGATTATAGGTGTGAGCCACCACGCCCGGACTTTTTTTTTTGAGACGGAGTTTCGCTCTTGTTACCCAGGCTGGAGTGGAGTGCAGTGGCGCAATCTCAGCTCGGTGCAACCTCCACCTCCCGGGTTTAAGCAGTTCTCTGCCTCAGCCTCCCTAGTAGCTGGGATTACAGGCGCATGCCACCATGCTCGGCTAATGTTTTGTATTTTTAGTAAAGACAGGGTTTCACCATCTTGGCCAGGCTGGTCTTGAACTCCTGATGTGATGATCCACCTGCCTTGGACTCCCAAAGTGCTGGGATCACAGGTGTGATCCACCACACCTGGCAAGAAATGTTCTTTTAATTTTTGAAAGCTGTTTTTCAGTTCACGATGAACCATCTTCTCCAGCTGAATAATGTACCTGTACCTACTTATTTCTTTACACACATACATACAAACACATATACCTTGCATATGCCCATCTCTATGCCTAGTCTTATGTGGTTTTTCCATCTTCTTTCTGCCAAAACATTTGATAGTCCTCCAAGTCTCATTTCTTTGAGGAAGTCTTTGCAGATGTTTCCATTCTTTATTTTGTCCGGTTTCCATTCTTATTCTGCTTTGTTTCTTAATTTTTTTTGAGACAGGGTTGAAAAAAAAAAAAAAACCTCTCATTACGAAAGGATCTTGCCTTGTCACTCAGGCTAGAGTGCAGTGGTGCGGTGATAACTCACTGCAACCTTGAGCCTTGAACTCCTGGGTGCAAGCAGTCCTCCTGCCTCACCCTCCCAAAACACTGGTTTTACAGCTGTGAGCCATGGTACTTGGCCTCCCCTTCTACTTTCAGAGCTACTTTGAATATTATAATTGGAAAGGACTTTAGTTTTCTACTCAAATGTAAAAATCCCCAAATCCTAGCCTCTACTTGAAAAATTATAGTAACTAAAATTCTACTACTTCTGAAAGTAGCCGTTTCTAATGCTCTCTGGAAAATTATATATTAAATATCAATTTTCCTTATAATTTCCACAAGTCTTCTCAATTTGCATTGTGAGCATCACCTTTTTTTTTTTTTTTTAATTTTTATTTTAGGCAGGGCCTCATTCTATCACCGATGCTGGAGTATAGTGGTGTGAGCATTGATTTCCTGGGCCCAAGTGATCCTCCCACCTCAGCCTCCCGAGTAGCTGGGACCACAGGCATATACTACCATGCCTCACCCTTTTTTTTCTTTGTAGATATGGGGTGTTCCCAGGTTGCCCAGGCTGGTCTCAAACTACGAGGCTTGTCTCAAACTCCTAGGCTTAAAGGGATCCTACTTTAGGAGGGCCTTGCCCTCCTAAAATACTGGGATTATAGGTGCAAGCCACCGCACCCGGCAATGAATATTACTTGACGAAGTTGTCACCAGACTGGGACTGAATCAGAAATCCGACCACCACTTAACTTATAGCTATGTGACTATAACATCGCAGAGCCTCAGCTTCCTTGGTTTCTTTCATGGAATGGGGGTAATAAATAAACTTTGCAAGGTAGTTGTTTGGATTAAATAAATAAAATGAAATGATGGCTGATTATAAAACATAGTAGTTAATGGCAAAGACTAAAATCAGACCAAACTGAGGCGGGTTTTTCTACTTGGTGACCTTGGCAAGTTACTTAACCTCTTTGTGCCTTATTTCCTCATGTGTAAAATAGAAAAAATAATAATAATACTTACCTTAGAGATGTGAGAGATAGATGAAATAATGTATTAAACATTTAGTACAATGATTGATATTAACCACACTTCCTCCCAAACTGAGATCTGTGTTTCCATAGTTTCAATTTTAAAATTCAAATATTAATTTAATTCACATTTCCCACAAAGAAAATTATTCTCAAATTCACTATTAGAAATATTTGGTAAGAGAAGGATTAAATTGGAAGTACACCCCAGGAGACACTGGGGACCTAGCATTTAGTTTCCTTTGCAGCACTCTGGAAGGCTTTTCTGACTCTGGCTGGACTCATCCACCCATTGGTAGCCATCCTACTACACTTTGGCCCATACTAACTTGATAATTAAGACTCCCCATCTTCTTGTCCAAACTTTCTAGGACATTGTTCCATGTTGGTTAGAGTGTGTAATAGATCTGGCATCAATTTAAAAAACATACACTTTGCCAGGTGGCTCATGCCTGTAATCCCAGCACTTTGGGAGGCTGAGGTGGGCGGATCACGAGGTTAGGAGTTCAAGCCTAGCCTGACCAATATGGTGAAATCCTGTCTCTACTAAAAATACAAAAAATTAGCTGGGCATGGTGGCACATGCCTGTGATCCCAGCTACCTGGAGGCTGAGGCAGGAGAATTGCTTGAACCTGGGAGGCAGAGGTTGTAGTGAGCCAAGATTGTGCCATTGCACTCCAGCCTGGGCAACAGAGTGAGACTTCATCTCAAAACAACAACAACAAAAAAAAACACCCCACGTTTCTGGTAAAGTATTATCATTTCCTATGTATTTTACACCAACCTGAAACTTCCTGAATTTTATTTAATTATTGCGTCCACTTTTAAATGCTTTGTTTACCTAGAACCAGAGATTTTTATGTGGATAGTATAATAATTCAGTATCAAATAAAAATCTGTCTGTTTCACTCTCATTCACAGGTCCGCAAGCACATCAATGATCTTTATGAAGATCTGCGGGATGGCCATAACCTGATCTCTCTGTTGGAGGTCCTCTCAGGCATCAAACTGGTGAGCTTCTGCTAATGAATGGCCTCCCAATTGTGGCCCTATACATGACTTATTGGTCCATCTTGTTAAGTTCGAGGGCAGCAGCCATCACTGCTTGATCTGTTAGGTGGGAGGAAGAAGTAGAAGGAATTGTTGGTGGACTTTATTTCTAACTCAGACTTACAATTTACAAATTATATAATTTAAATTGATGTATGTTCTCATTTCTTGATGAAATGAGGAATTAGTTATATTCATTTATATCTGCATGTTTTTGCAGTACTTTTTCTTTATTTCTAGATACTAATAATCCAGTAAGTTGATTCATGTTTAAAGGTTTTTTTGAATTAGGTGTATTTTTCTTCCTAGAGTTCTACTGCTAGTCTGTATAGACTCCTCTCATTTTCCCATCTATTAAGAATTTTAAAAATTTTCTGTATTCAGCTAAAGATCTGAAGTTTGCATTTAGAAGCCCAGGTGTTTGGAGTTATTTTTTCTAAATCATCTCACTTTCTCCCTTCTGTGATTCATTGAGTCTCACAGATTTGGAAAGGTGCCGAAGTTGTCTAACTGTAGCTCTGGATGTAGAACACCTGGGATCCTTGAATAATTAATATGCCTGCTTCTCCCAAAATATTTTAATATTGATTATGGGAAACACCTACATATCTGAGGGCAAATCTTGTCTGAGCTTTTTGGCTTGCCAAATGATAGTTCTTCTACTTGCTTTGTTTGAGGGATGGAAATTACCCACTTGTGGGCCTGTTGTTTTCTATATTTGAGCCTAATGGGAGCAGGTGATTCCATATGGTTCCTATTCTCCCTCTCATGCCATAGACAACATCATTTTACTTAGAAAAGTCCAGGGTGGAATATTGGAAATATCTGTGGAGAAATAGAGAACTGAAGAGACGTATAGCTCAAGTAGTCTGTGAAGATCAGCCCACTCACTGCCTTTCTTAGTCATTGTTTGTTGTGTTTAAGTAACGGAACTTGGCACATTTGATTTTGCTGTTTTAAGTGCTATTCAGCTCCTTCTAGAATCGGGGCTTGGCTTCCCTGGGGCCCTTTGTTTTGGTTTCATATCTTTTTTTGCCTTGCAGTAGAATTAATTATATATTTTTTAATGGCCTAAAATTTGCAGAAGCTTTTATTAGCATAGCTGGCACATGTAATGTCTAGTTCTTGCTCCCTGGCTCACATTTATGAATCTAATAAGTAATCAGAATTTTTACTTGCATTGTGCTGGACTTTATTCTTCACCACTCACAAAGTTATATTTTCAGTAATGTATCTGCTACATTTGATGAATTTGTAATGATTTTATATTGAAAAGTGATCTTTTTTTGTGGTATTGCTTACATAATAAGTTGAAAGGACTTCAATATAATTTCTTTTCCTAACCCTTGAAAACCTTTAGGTGTTTGTGGAGATACTGATGGGATATCATCTCTTTACCAGAAACCATCCGGATATCTCACCATCTTTTTTTTCCCCATAGTTGACTTAGAAAAGCAAAGAGGGTAGGAGGCCATGGAGAATGGAAGATGTGTTTCAACATAAGAAATGTTCAATGTAACCATCTGCTCTGGTTTTGATTTAGTTTTGTACCTTTTTCGCAGGTGGGAGGGTATTTTCATATTTGTTTTTTTTTTTCTTTTTGTAAGTGTTTGATTCATCTCCTTTCCATCTTTGTGTTGTGAATTTTTTGTTCCTCTGTTGTGTCTTTGCCTTGGTTGGTGGCTAAAGGAGCCAGCAGGGCTGAAGACCCTCCGTCTGGTGAGCATGCCCTCCTGGCGTCATACAAACAACGAAGAGCAGGAGGAGGAAGATGATGATGATGTAGTAGGTCCTCCTGGGGTTGCCATCATCCCAGCTGGCACTGCTGGCACTGCAGGGCCATCAAAGAGTCTGAGGTTCTCAAGGTCTCCAAGTAGTTCAGTTACCATTTGCCACCTTCTCATTTCACCTGGGAATTTGGGTCCCAAAGAAAGTAGTTAAAACTAATTGGGCCGGGTGCGGTGGCTCACGCCTCTAATCCAAGCACTTTGGAGGCCAAGGCGGGCAGATCACCTGAGGTCGGGAGTTCAAGACCAGCCTGACCAACATGGTGAAACCCCGTCTTTAAAAACAAACAAACAAACACTGATTGTGCCTTTTGTCACTGTTAGGTGATCTCGGATTGGGAATTGCTTTTCTTAGGGAGTTGGCACAAAAAGAATAATGGTTTTTGGAAGTGTCAAGTTGGCTTCTGACCTGGAGACCCATAGCTTTCTGGTGGCCTTGCTGTGTTTTCTGAGTCCAGATTGCAGAATTGTGGAAAATTTAGTTGACAGCATGACAGTTAATTAATTGCTCACAGCTCCACAGTCCAGACTAACTGGTACTCTCTTTCCACCTCTCTGGCCTCTAGGTTCTCATCATACACCCTGCCATTTGTTTTCAAAACAGCCTGTTGTTTGCAAACTCACTGCATGGAGATACTCTGAGATTTAACTTGCATGTTCCTAGGGTATTTAGTTTTGGTGGGGGTACATATGAGTAAAGATCAGAGTATAAGAGGAGTATATTCTGCCTGCAGGGCCTAAATTATAGTTCAAAATCTTTTTCCAGAAACAAAGAGGGATTAGGCAATATCCTCATTCTCTGTCCTTTTTTTTTTTTTTAAACAGTCTCACTCTGTCACCCAGGCTGGAGTGCAATGGTGTGATCTCGGGTCACTGCAGCCTCTGCTTCTCGGGTTCAAGCAGTTCTCCTGCCTCAGCCTCCCAAGTAGCTGGGATTAGCCCACCACCTTGCCCAGCTAATTTTTTGTATATTTTATAGAGATGGGGTTTCACCATGTTAGCCAGACTGGTCTCGAACTCCTGACCTCAGGTGGTCCACAACACCCGGCCTTGCTGTTCTCTTAAAATCAATTTTAAAATCATTTGTCTCCCTTCTCATTGCCTTAGAAGGTTCCATTTTATAGACATTATCATCTTCTAAGCCATAGTCACAATTAGTTTAGCTAAAATGACTGAGAAAAGGTTCTTGCTAAAAAGATTTTTCCTAAACCTTTGACTGAAAAAGTTATCCTGTGCCCAGAGAGGCCTTGACATCTCCGTATACGGATTCTCCTCTTCCAGAAGTGTTGGAGGTGCCCAGAAGATGCTTCTATCCTTATCTCTCCATGTGTTATGCTACTTTTTGCCCAGTTTAATTTGGAGCAATGTTTTTCTCTGTGCAGAAAAAAGCTCCCACAACAGAGCTACCTTATATTTTATCAGCTTTTAATTAGTGTCAATTTGAGACTCACAGAAGAAGTGGACATAATCTAGTTACAGTGATATTTCAGTCCAAATTTTGGTAAAATAAAAGCATCATTAGAAAGCAAGCAGAATAAAATGTTCTAGGGCTAGATATCCCTTCCTGAAGATACTCACTAGACAAAGAGACTCCATTCACTTTCCAACTGGAAATAGTTGAGCCTTGGACGGGGTACCAGAGGCATTGGATAGAGATGGGCATCTCTCCAGTGGATTGTATGACATCTGGGATTGAGTGACTGGTAGAAAATAATATTCTTTGGAGTAATTATGTTGACAGCCCTACATTATCAAAGTTTTGTTTGCTCTGGGTATTTCATGCTGAGGTAAAGATTGCCTTTCCTTCAGTGACAGCTGTGTTCCTGAAAAACTGGTTACTTTCTGATTTTTGCCTTTCTGATTGTTACATTTTGGATTTTCTCACTTGTTTCTTGAGCATATGTAACTTCTCATTTCCTATGGTTAAAAATCAGCTATCCTTTTTTCTTTTCTTTTCTTTTCTTTTTTTTTTTTTTTTTTTTGAGACAGAGTCTTACTCCATCTCCCAGGCTAGAGTGTAGCGGCGCGATCTTGGCTCACTGTAACCTCTACTTCCTGGGTTTAAGTGATTCTTGTGCTTCAGCCTCCCAAATAGCTGGAATTACAGGCATGTGCCACCATGCCTGGCTAATTTTTATATTTTTGGTAGAGATGGGATTTCACCATGTTGGCCAGACCTCTCTCGAACTCCTGGGCTCAAGCAGTCCTCCTGCCGTCTCCTCCCAAAGTGTTGGGATCATAGGCATGAGCCACTGCACTTGGCCAAAAATTGGCTATCTTGAGCTCCTTTTGCCATATTTGTAATAAGGTTGGCTCCATCTATTACTATGCAATATGTAATTAGGACTTTGTACCCTTTCTCTACAATAGCATTTAACTGTGATTTTAGGAGCCAAAGTCTGTTCCCATTAACCTCACGTCCAGAATCAAGTTCTGCCACATGTGACTGCAGATGAACCTGAACAAAAGCTGTTGCATTGATTCAGCATTAGTGGTGAAACAGTATTCTGTGCTTGCGAGATGCATAGTGGTACACAAGGCATTTTGGGGACCTCAGAGAGCTTGGTCAAAATACACACAGGCCTGGTCTTAAGGGGTGCTTTATGTAATGCTCTCACGCCTGGCTTCTACTGTGAGGAATTCTTGTGTGGTCCTTTAGTCCTTCAAATAAAAGAGAAAGGATCTGTATGGATACATTGTTAGCCAGAGTTAACATCCCTTTTATGGTTTGTTTGCAGCCTCGGGAGAAAGGCAGGATGCGTTTTCATAGGTTGCAGAATGTGCAGATTGCTCTGGACTTCCTAAAGCAGCGACAGGTAAGACCATTCCATGCTTTCCCCGTTCTTCAGGCAGTGTTGGCATTGGGGCCCTATTTAGAGATGTTTTTAGTGCCCCCAGTAAGCTCTCAGTAAATGCTAAATCTGATTGACCCAGTTCTGAGTCTTAACTTGCTAGTGAGCAATTGTATTCTGATTGGAGAAATCATTCAGTACTTCCTACACAGAACTTGTCACCTCCTTGTACAGAGAAGAACACAGTGATAAAGATAGAATCTTGTGGACCCACCCTAGGTGGGGGTCAAAATGAAGATGAAAAATAAACTAGAAAAGAGATGGGAAAGAAGTGTAGCATCCAGGGAGAGAGAGGACCAAATTGTTATATCACTGTGAAAATGAGATAAGGGGGTTGGTTTGGATTGTTTGTTGATTGCCACATCAGATCTGAGAAAAAGATCTAAGTTGTTAAGTATAACTTAAGTGAACAGTTTAATACAGGAGAAAGATATTTAGAGTATACTAGACCTAGATATAAGAAGGGAGAAAGAAGTTTTTCCCTCCCTAGATGAAGAAGGCAACAACCCATTTTTAGACATAGGAAGAAGAGCCAATGAAGAGAGTAAGATTGAAAATGAGCATGAGGAGGAATATTAATAGTCATAGAATGTTTGAGAAGATAGCTTAATGTTATATTAGTCCAGTTTCTTATTACAGATAAAGAAACTGAGAGCTGGACAGGTAAATGACCTGCCTCAAATCACAAGTCAGAGCAAAGCTGGGACTTTAACTCAGGCCTTCTGACATGCAGCTAGTGTGCCTTCCACTATCCATGCTGCTTCTTAACTGACAGAACCAAATCGAGGGACTGATGGATGGGAACCAGAGCACAACTGGTATGGCCGTCTTTGAAAAAGAAAAGAAAAATGCCTCTTCTTCTGAGAGACAAGGAGAATGACAGAGGGAGGGGATGAAGATGCAGAAATGGTTTGTGGTAGAAGATGGATGAGGGAGTCAAAGTTCATCTGCTTAGAGTGAGCCATATGGAAAATATTTGGGATAGCTAGGGTTGCCAAGCAACAACAGGGTCAACATGACATTAAATGGTATGCATATTTTTGGTGTCAGTTCATTTTTGTTACTCTTATCGGTAATTCTTATTAACTTAGAAAATTCTGTTTCTGTTTGCTCTCATAACAATTTACTTCTGATAAACATTTCTTACTTTCTTGTTATTTCTCTGTTTGCTCCAATGCATTGTAGGTTCTGTGAGTACAGGGAATAAGATCTTAACATTTTACCTTCACCTGTTGTAGTGAATGGTCCTCAGTTGGTACTTAATAAATATTTGCTGAAATAAATTGATAAATGAAAAGTGGTAGGAGAAGTGGAGGTTGCTGAAGTGTTTAGGATACTGGGAGAAAGCAGCATTGCAATTGCCTGTGACTGGAACTAGAGGAAACTGGAGTGGAGGGCCTTACTGGGCAAGGTTTATGAGAAGAATTGATTAGCTGGAAGTCTAAAGCAGGACAAAAAGTGGCTTTGGTTGCTCTGATAGAATGAAAATGGGGACAGGTAAGAACAGTGGATTTGGCCAGGCATGGTGTGGCTCATGCCTGTAATCCCAGCATTTTGGGAGTCTGAGATGGGCGGATCACAAGGTTAGGAGATCGAGACCATCCTGGCCAACATGGTGAAACCCCGTCTCTACTAAAAAAAATAAAAAAATAAAATTAGCTGGATGTGGTCATACGCACCTGTAAAAAAATTAGCTGGGCGTGGGCTGCTGACGCAGAAGAATTGCTTGAACTCAGGAGGTGGCGATTGCAGCGAGTCAAGCAAGACTTCTCAAAAA